CTTACAAGATCAATCCTGGCTGGTTGGTTCTTGCGTTCGTGGAACAGGCATGCGACACATAACGGCATGTGAGGCAGGCAGCCGACGGCGAAGGAGGCCAAGCGAAGCAAGTGCAGTCGATTCGTCACATCGCTGAGGAAGGAATCTATGGCCGGGTGGGTGCAACACTGCAGACTAAAGGCGAGTTTAGAGACCGACTCCGAAATGCAGCAAAAGCGTCTCAAAGACGCTTGGATGCTTGCGGTGCCCGCTTCGATAAGAATGCAGCAGCTGCAGTGCAATCTGCACTCTTCGGGTCCAAGGGAGGATTGAGACATTGGTGTGATAGCGTCAGATGCCAGTGCTACTTCACTGCATCGTCAGCTAGCCGGGCGCTCGGTTCGTCGAAGAGCAACAACTCTCCTGTGGACCTGTAGTCAATACTCTGTAGAGAGGTAGGCTTGTAGGTGCCTAGGCACCTAGGGCATGACTTCTGGCCTCCATTCATGCGGGAGACTCGGAGGCGACAGCGGTGACCACGCTCGGGTGGAATGAAACAGTTCTCGGGTTGGCTGAAATGGTTCATTGTCGCAGTGTTTGCTTTTCTCGTTCCCCTGTGGTGGCTTGAGCCTTGAACCCGATCTGGTTTGGAGGGTTCCTCGGCTCGTGGCCGGTCATCACGGCTCTCGTCGTCTTGACTTTCACGAGCTAGCGCAGAGGCGATCGATGCCGCGGAGGGTAGTGAGCAACGTCGATATGGCCATGCTTCCCCGCCCGCTACACGAGGATGATAGCGGGGTCGAGTGAGAGGGCGACCAAAAGAGACCAATTGATGAGATGCAGCCGAGAAAGGACTGGTCGCAGACCAACAGTCGACTTAAGCAGGCTGTCTGGTTGACACATACGAGGAAAGGGTTGTTCGGATGCGTCGATATTGACTTGATAGCGACGACAATGCGTTAGCCAGGAACGCCGGATAGAGCACCACACCCTTTGGTCTTCAACTAAAGGTCGTCCGTATGCTTCTGTCAGGTTCGGCAATGTTGAGCTGAGGGGGGCTTGTTGGTGGGATGAAGGACATCTTGAGGCGGGACAAAGCTAGGGCCTCCACTCTCTTCTCTAGAGGTTGCCTGCGGCATGTACGCATACGGATAGTGTGGGTGGTGTGTGATATGGATATCAATACTATTGATGGCGGCGGCGGTGATAGTGATGGAGCAAGAAGTACTCTATACCCGGCTGCCGTTGGCTGGCAGCACGAATCGACCGAAGTATATGACGAGTGGAGGGGTGATGGGGCGATCTGAAGAGTCGGATGGGCCAGGCGATAAACGGAGCCCATTCCTTCGGACAATTGCTGGCCTTGGGTTGCAGAAGTCACTGCATCTACTGCAGCAAACCGGGCCCCTCAAAGTGAAAGGACGACGGTGCCCGTGGGTGCGCAGTTGGAGCTCGGAACATGCGGTTTGTTTGGTGTTGGAGCGGAAGGTCGTGGTACGGAGTACCTACGCATGGGACGATAGTATTGTTGTTGGGGTCGAAACTCGAAAGACGTTGATGACTGAGATTCAGAGACTGGAAGAGAGAGAGGCCGAGAGACAACGGAGAGACAACGGAGAGACATGGAAAATAAAACCGCAACGCCCATTGGAGAGACACGAGGCAAAAGACGTGGAATGGGCAATAAGAAGCCATTTTGTGGCTGCTGTCGATGGTATGCGCCAAAATGGGGGGCAACTTCCTTTTTCCCCCTTCTGCTAAGACGTGTGTTTTCTTTTCCCATCTTTTGAGGCAAGAACCAGTGAGCCACCACCATCTGAGACAAGATTCGAAAGGCAAGCGCCAGGTACAACACGTGAGGCACGGCATCTACGTCCCGATCTTTTCTTCCTGCCCTGAATGTCTCGAGGTACCTTTTTTTCTTCTTCTTTCTCTTTCTCTCCCTGTCTCTTTGCACAGATTGACTTGCGCATCTTCCAAAACAGATGTGTATCAAGATGCACTGTACTCCGTATCTATCCCTCTATCTCTCCTCAGACAGCGGCTTACACGCATGCAGGTATTACAGATTAGAACCCAAGTTTCCACCGACTCAGGTAGTCACGGTAGTACACACCATAGTTCTCCCGAAGCATGGGTCAGGCTGCATGTCAAGGCGAGTCAAGAGTCAAGATGAGTGGGATCGCCAACGCCAACAGCGTCCGTGTGCCTGCTTGCGCCCAGACCCTTTTTCTTTCCTTCTTCCTTGCGTGCATGTCTTGGATTGGAGGTGCATGTGCTGCACGCTCTGGGCAACGGACGACGGACGGGCGAATGGGACAATCAGGGGCGAAGAAAGGGTCTGTTGAAGGATAACGGAGTTGCTGCGAAGTTGCGGACGCCGACTGGGGCTCAGGCTCGCAATGAAATGACAAGGTTTCATTTCAATATGCTTTGGGAGGAGAAGTTTCTCTCCCTGCGCTTACTCTTTACCCCAAGCGTGCCAGGAAACCCTCTCGATGGCCTCACCCAATGGGGCCGGCGATGCAGGTAAAGGCGCTTTAGATTGAAGACACTGGCGCTTCAAGCGTAGCGGCCATGCAGCCCGAGCAAACCAGGCAAGCCTGGAAGGACTACCTAGCTAGTCGTGTCTTTGAACGTACTTGATCGGGGACGTTGGTTAGATTGGCGTTATGGTGTCTTTTTCCTTTCTTTCTTGTTGTTTCTCAACTTTACTGTGGCGGCGGCGGATTAGCGGGCGGCTGCCATGCTTGCTTCCTCTTCAATGTTCTTTATCAATATTTTTTTATCCTCCTTTGGCTTCACTAGCCTGGATCCTGTCTCTGTCTCTTCCATCTTCTTCAGGTCGCGATCTGCATGTTGATTCGAGTCGCTGAGGCCGAGTCCAACTTCTAAGTGATGCGTGATGGGTACTTGATTCCTGCTCGGGATGCAGTGCGTGCTTGAGCTGTTGCCAGCGTAACGTCCGGATACATACGTACCGGTACTGCATACAACACATCTCATATCATACTCACGTTCAGACTCACTCTCATGCAGTAATGGAAACAGGCATGGCCCATGAATCAAATGCCCAGTGCTTGCCGAGAGGTTCCGGGCTGCTGCTTGCACGTTTCTATACAATCCGCTATATCGCCCCCAAACTCGGTCAAGCACTGCATAGCTTCGTTTTCTTCCCCTCACATCTCGATGTAAGTGGGAGGAAGCAACTTAGTCACACTAGTCTGGGTGCCAGACGTGGACGGTGTTGTCATCCTTCAATGCATGCACTTTGCTGTCAGTCCCGTTGTAGCCAAGTTCGCTTCCACGGCTCGCAAGGTCAGGCTGCAGACCTTGGCGCTACCAGCAAGTGAAGGATGCTCGAGCTGCAGCGCTGATGACAACCCCCGGCCAAGGTAGGTACCTGACGCAGTGCTTTCTGGCCCAGTCACAGTCTCGCGTACAGATACTGGTACCTCATCGTCAACGTGGGTCTGTTTGTCGTGGGCTGTACTAATTCGTGTAGTGACTACCTTAGCATGTTGAGGTATTCGTACGCAGCGTGTAAGGCACAAATATGGACGTATGTCCCAGGTATCGGTATGGGTAGAGGATACCTACAGTCTGGTCAGGTTGCGAATACCTCAGCTGAGAGTTTGGCTCCGCCTCAGGTAGACGTACCCCGGGACATGTGCACGCCTGAAAGGTGCAAAGCATGCGCTGAATCGGGCCAGACTTTGGGGCCAATTGCTCGCCCATTTTTCCTCATTCTTCTCCTCGCCTTGCCTGATTCGAGTTCACCCACGCAAGCCACCTACGATGTAGTATTGATGTAGATACCTTACTTGACGAGGTAGACCGTATCCGTAACAGGTACCAACATGGCAACATTTCGAATCGTGTGAGAAACACGTGTGGTCACCCTTACCTCAAGGACTTCACCTCTTGCATCCCGCCATCTTCCCGTTCTGCCGTACAGGTCCCCTGACCCCGGTCTCAGTCATCGCATCATCTTGTCTGCGCACGAGGCAACACCTAATTACTCAACGCGCAGGGCAATTCTGTAAGGTTATCAGGTCACTAAGTACAGTCTGACAGTGGAGGTACCCGACCTTGTCAAACTTACAGCACCCTCAATGTCCCGGGCTTGCCTTGCTGAGAATGAGAACCTGAGCTGCCCGATCTCATTACGGATACTCGCCTCACTCCAAGGTACTGTGTATGTAGGTACGCCATTTCTCTTGATGTTGTGAAGCGCGTCTCTCGCCTCCACCGGGCGCTTTCTTCGGAATCCTGACGGCACCGGGTCTGCCGTTCGTTCAACTGGTTCAAGAGTCATCAAAGCCTACGAACCGCCAGGTCTTGGTTCTGGTCTTAGTACTTGGTCTGGTGTCTGGTCTGGTGTAAAAAAAAACAAAATGCTGGTCCTGGACCCGAGCGAGCCATGGCCCATCTGGCCCGGCGCCGTCAACGGACAAGGGTGGACAGGGATCATTCGTCTCTTGTCATCCTCGTCGCCCACGTCACCTGCGCGCAACCACTTTCAGACCTTTCCTTTTTCCCTCTCGCCAGTCTCTCTCCCAACTTTCTCAAGGCCTCTCCCGTCCCCTCCCTTGTCGGCAAACCACGCCCCTCTCAAGGACCCAAGCAGCAAAATTCCGCCCACCCCGTCTGCAACCACACACACCCACTGCTCCCCGCTTGGCCCGTAACCTACACTATTCCCACACACCCGCGACACCCCCCCCCCCCCTCCCCTTCCCACCTCAAGTTCCCGCTGCATTTTGGGTGGTGAACCGTGAGCCTGCCGCTGCTACAAACTGTATGCCATCCGCTGTCGCTCCTGCACTGCACCTTGCAAAAATCGCTGCTTCGCCCGGCCTTTCGCAAAGTGGAGGAGGCTGAGTTGACCCAGTGGACCTGGACTGATCCTGTCTAACAAAGCCCAATTCCTCCCCCAATCTCACCTGCTTTTTATTTCCTACTTGTTCAACTCCTTCCCATACCGGCGGGATCTAGTCAGAGAGCAGGAGTTTCTGGGTGTTTGTGAATGAGCAACACCGCAGAATATCTCGACGCATGTCGCTGCGTTCGTTACCCCGTCTTCATCCGCGAACGGGGACAGGAAGACATCACCAACGCTCATAATAAGCCCACCACCATTCTGGGCCAAGAACCATGCAACGAGTTTCGAGCTTTCTCCCATCCTGGGAAGCCAGGAGGAGGACCAGCAACGCCAGCACTACGAGCAACGGCCGAAGCAGTGTGGTCACCGCAAGCAGTATCAAATCTCCCCTCGACAAGGTCTTCCGCTGGTCCAGTAAGCCTCCCGCGCCGCTTACCACCAACGCCCTCGTCTCAGCGACAACGTCACGAATTGGTCGGGAGGCTTTCTGGCCGGCTACTCTCGACGGTGAATGCGAGCGCGCAGCTCGCATATTGAAGTCATTTTGCTGTAAGTATACCCTGGCAAGAATTACAACGTTGCTGAAGCTCGGCCGCATCATCCCGCGATTCCTCACTAACACAACCGTGCTCGTTTAGCCGACGGTTTCCTCGCGCCTTTGGACGAACAACCAAGCAGCGACGCCAACGCCGAACCGAAAACCCCAGCACGGATTTTCAAAAAGATCCCCCCACGTATCCTACAAAATGCAGCTGGCATCGCCATTTTCACTTGCATGCGATCTGGCCTATGGATGACCGGATCAGGCGGTTCAGGCATCCTTATTGCTCGGAAAGCTGACGGCACCTGGTCGCCACCTTCGGGTATCCTTCTCCACACGCCTTCATTAAGCTTTATTATGGGCATTGACATTTACGACTGTGTCCTGGTAATCAATAACATTGCCGCTCTCGAATCATTAATAACTAAACCGACTCTCACATTGGGCGAGGATATTGGCCTGACTGCTGGACCGCTGGTTCCGCTGGAATCCACAGAAGTCGACAGCCGGTGGAAGGACCTCGACAACACCGTTTTGACATATATGAAGGCGAGAGGACAGACTCAGACCGTCAACCTGAACGGCTGCATCCTGACGGAACGAGCCAACGAGAATGAGAGGTTCTACGGTGGCAACGTAACAGCGATGGACGTAGTTGCAGGCAATGTGTCGAGGCACGTGGAGGAGACACGCCCTTTGTTCGAAGTAATCAAGGAGGCAGAAGGAAGGATCGATGCCGACCAAGCCATCTTGAGGAAGCTTTCAGCATTGCCAGCACCGGGAGACGCCATGATCGAAACGCCCCGGAGCTCGCCAGCATCACCGAAGACTCCCTTCGGCATTCCCAACACTGAGGACCCTGATCCTTTCGGTGTCTTGGCTCTGGAGATGGCAGGACTAGAGATCCGAGAGGCTGGCACACGCCTCCGACCCACAAGCAACCAATTTGAATTCCACCCTGTTCCCTCCAGCCCAGCATTTTCGAAGTTCAGGCAGAGCGGTGAAACCTTTACGACGAAGAGTAACCGAGGCAGCCTAATGTCTACCAAGACCAGCCGCACCAAAATGTCTGAGGCTTGGACACAGTCAAACCCGACCGGGACGCCATTCACATCGCCTAGCCAGAGCCAGAGCCAGAGCGAAGACGGCGCTTCCATTAATAGCCTCCCTGTTCTCAAGGAGCCGGAGGAGGAGCCTGAGGAGGTTGACTACACCAAGATTGACTTCACCCCGTTGAGGCAAATTAGCGGAAGCCACTCGATAGAGGAAACTGTCATGACTGACAGCGACGACCACCTGCGCACCGATATCAGCACTATGGATGACGCCGCTACCAAGGCTTCAAGCATCTACACGAAAGACGATGCCAGCGTAATCTCCAGAAACGACGAGGAGCAGGAGGATACCCGGAACGATGAGCCAGACGCCGATGCTGATGACGAGGAGGATGAGGAGGAAGACGAGGACTTTGAAGAGCCTGTCATCTTTGAGGTTGCAGCCGTCCAGCCCGCTGCAGTCGTCATGGCTGCTCCCATCCACGCCAAGGGCGCTTTGGTTACCATACCCAAGAGGATTCCCCCGCCTCTTCCCGCTAGAAGCCCTATGAGAACCTCTCGTGCTAGCAAGAGCGATATTGGCGATGTCAGCCATCTTCACAGCCCTATGCAGGCCTCTTTCACTCTCTCGCCGAGACAGTCCATCGACTCATCCTCAATCCGAAGCGGAATGGACAACGTTCCGTCGATCCAAGAGACGGCCCCTGACGTTTCCGAAGAGGAGAAGATGAAGAAGACAGACTCTGTTGTGACCGAGAAGCAACACACAGAGGATGTGCCTGCCCTTCAAACCCCTACAATCATGGAACCTGAGCAAGCGACGCCCATGGCACCTGGAGCCTTCCCGGATGAGGGAGATTTCATGAACCCCATGGGTACGCCCCTGAGGGAAACTACAAGCTTCGAGTCGAGACACGCCACTCCCCAGACAGTCAATGTCGCATGATACCATTCACTTTCTTCTTGTTTATTTCTAGTCTTTTCAGCGACACAGGCGCCGCGGCACCTTTTGGGGACCCTTCAGGTGTTCCTTTCATCACTCAAGATGTGTGTACCAGGCGTTTGGGACATTTTGGGACTGGCATCCTCGGTTAAGGATACCAAACAGTTTATACATAACGACCAACTTTATGACAGGCAAAAGGCGTTCATGGATGTACAGAACAGAGTGACCGGGAAAAGGAGGCACCAACAACACCATACCATGGGGAAGATTAGACACAGTAGTGTACCTGAGGGTCACCGAGGTCAAGAGAATTGGAGACCGGATTGTGTGAAGATATCGGGCGATGCTTTGCAGCTTGCAAGGTGCTGTGAAAGAACTCAATGGAGCTGGACTGCTATAAAAGGGGTGCTCTTGGCCACCTAGCGCAGATAGCCTAGTCTTCGACTTATTGCCTAAAGATAATGAACAATCATTCAGAACAACCTGATTAGCCGTGAAGCCAGATCTCGCGTTAAGACTATGAAGTCACGTGTTCACACGCCTTACCTTGCGTACGAAGGTGAAGTCGGCACGGCTCGAGGTCAGGGGCTGGGTGCCTTTCTCCGACTGTGTGGTCCGTCTAGGCAGTGGTTTGCTCAATGCCCCTCTCTAAACCCTATTTCTTTCCTTTCAAAACTCCAAGATTTACGGAATTCTCATCGACCTCTTTCTCCTCAAGCACAAACACCACAATTCCAACACATTTCATCATGAGACTCAGCTCACACACCAGTGTGGGATGTGCCTGCAATGGCTGCAAGGCTCGGAGAAACAATGATGCGATGCCTGTGGCACGGACCATCTTGGGGACCTTCAATCCAGCCAATTCCAGCTTTGGCTGGGGCAGTGGCAGCCCAGGTGCCCACAGCAGCAGCAGCAGCAGCAGCAACAGCGATAGCGACTCTGAGCACGTCGCCAATTCTTACGCGACTCGACTTCGTCCGCGTCCTCGCCCGCCCACGATCCCCGTTACGCCCACGAAGACTCCGAAAAAAGGCGCTGCCAAAACCCCGCGCACGCCAGGAAACCTCGCGCACAACGACAATTTGACGGACACTCCCAGCGGTGCTTAGAAAGCTTCGCGCGCCGGCAAAATGTCGACTCAGACGGGCAAGTTCCGCGAGGACCAGGTCCTCATCATCTGTCCCGGCAGCAAGACCACCATGGCCCAGCTGGGATGCGGCGAGCTTACCCCGCCCGTCCACCGTATCCCGACACGCATGTTCAAGGACGCCGAGACGGACGAGTGGCGGCCCTTCCACACCTTCAAGCGCAAGAAGGCCAATGCTAATGTCGCGCTTGCTATCGAAGGTCCGCGGACCGACGATGATGAGTACGAATGGGTTGAGGATACCGACTCGGATGAAGGCGCTGTCTACCCTATGCAAGGTATGGTTCTTCGGTTGCTACTGCATTATTTCACATCTGGGGTGCTAATTGGTGTCCTATTTCAGGCGGTCGCATCATTAACATGGAGGCGTTCCTGGCGTTCCTCGATCATGTTCACAGCATGCTCACCACCACCTACCACAATACCCCAATTATGCTCATGGCCTCGCCTCAATGGTGCCGCCCCGATACCGAGACGATCGCACGCTACATCTTCGAAAAGACTCGCACTCCTTCCCTTTGCATGATCCACAGCGGCATCGCTACCCAATACGGCCTCAAGTGGCCCAGTCTCACCGTGGTGGACATTGGTTACGAGAAGGTCGACGTCACATGTATACACGACGGCCGCGTGGTCAACCATGGAGAGCTCGGTTCCCCGACCCCGGAGCGCTTTATCTCGGGCGGAGACATGTTCACGCGCAAGCTCCTTGAGAAGCTCAAAGACAAGGACTTTAAGTACGACATGGCGGAGCAGCTGAAGAAGAGCCACATCTGCGAGGTTCTGCCATATGCGCCAAACAGCTCTATCCTCATGGACCTTCCGACAGCTCAGACGGCAGGGGCTCCTCCCAGCGCACCCATTACCGAGGCGGCTCCTTCCGCCGCGCCGACTGCGCAACCGGTCGTTCCTGCCGCCGAGGAGGACATTGAGGAGAAGGCGGCTGAGGAGGGTGTTCTCGATGTGGCGTCCATTGTCACGAGCGGAAATGCCCGCGAGTTCCTCGCCAAGAAGGAGAAGGAGAAGCAAAAGGGTGGCAGGAAGGCTAAGGCTACCCAGGAAGCCGAGGCTGCGAAGCCGGTTCGTCTGCCCAACTCCAAGAGAACTCACAACACCTTCCACTTCGAAGAGGTCGTCATGGAGGAGGTTCAGCCGCCCAAGCCAGAGACCAAGGAGGAGCCCAAGAAGGAAGAGGCAGGAAATGCGACTGAATCCAAGGACGTTGAGATGACGGATGGCACCAAGCCCGCCGACGCCACAGCTCCCACGACCACCGAGGGCGACGTCAAGCCCGCAGAGTCTTCGGCTCCTGCAGCGCCGACAGATGCTGCAGTTCCAGCTACTGCCCCAGTCACTGCCCCCGAGACGAATGGTACAGACGGCCATTCCGCCACGATCCCTGCAGAGGCTACCACCAACGGTGCCCCTCAGATGCAGGCCAAGCGCATCCGCCGCGACATTGAGGTCGGCCTCGAGCGCTTCACCTTTGCTGACCGTGGCGAGATCGATCGCATCGTGACCACAATCTACCGCACTGTTCAAGGCATCGACGATATGTACATGCGTCCTCCGTGCTGGGACAACCTCGTCTTCGTCGGCAATGGCGCACGTCTCCGCGGTCTAAAGGACAACATTGTCCAGACACTGCTGGCCCGCCACCTCATCTCCCCCAGCACGGCTACCATGTTCACCTCGGAGCTGCCGTCCAACATCGCAACCCCCACTGGCACGGGCGCGCAGACTCCTACGGGCTCTTTTACGGGTGCCCCGCACCAGCTTCCCGCCAATGTCGCCGCCGGCTCCTCGGGCGTTAACCCCCTGCTTCAGGCCGCTACCACAGCTTCCGCTCAGAACCAGGGCACTCCGGGTCCTAGTGGCGACGCGGGTCCCAACGGCACTCACTCCGTTGCGGGCCATCACTTCCACAGCCAGACGCCCACTAGTATCAAGCTGGCGACGCTGCCCACCTACCTCAGCGAGTGGAACAAGAACGGCTTCGAGGAGGCCATGTTCCTTGGAGCGCAGGTCGCCGCGCGCATCGCCTTCTGCCAGCACAACCTCGATATGGCCGGTCTCGAGGCTCAGCGTCAAGCTAGCCTGAGCAGAGTCGACTACAAGTATGTTTACTCTCCGTTGCCTCCACTGGCCGTTTCATTGTAGCCTTAGACCCTTTTACTAACCTTTCCGCAGTGAGCTTGGCCCCAAGGGTATCCGCACCCACTCCATGCTCAAGTAGTTCCAAGCTTTTGGCCCGCGCGAAGTCGGGAACGACAGGTTTCTTCTTTCATCAAATCCTTCAGGGGGGTTAGACTACCTTCCGGGACGACTACGGCGGCAACAGCGCGGGCATGGGAATTATATCTGGTTGTGACATTGACAGTCTCAAAGGTCATTGTTCACTGTTTTACTGTGACAAGGCTGCACACATTGTGTTCTGGAGTTTTAGGGACATATCAAAAAACCTCGGGGTGTGAGGCGTGGGGGATGCTTTTTTATTGCGTTTTCTTATTGCTTGATAATGAAGTGGAACGGATACCAGCAGAGACAGGGGGGGTTGAGAGAGATTTGTGATCTCGGGGGGAACATAGCTGCGAGCGAGCCTACGAAGATCCTCTCTTGGCCTTCGTCTAGGATTTTACTCGTCTGTGATATGACGGGTTTGGCAGCCCAACCTGTATGATACTCGGGACAGGATAGGTATAGAATCCTTCAGACTTTGCAAGTGTTCTTTTTTGCGGCGTGTTCTCCTCTAAGCGCGTGTCGTACTGCGAGGCTGGCCTTTGTGTCAAGGTCTCGTTGATTCCGGTTCCTGATGGAGAGATAGGGGGTGCTCCGTTGCCGGCGACGTTTGCTTGTGTGTCGTATAAGATTCTTGCAGGACCAAAGGGTAGAGGATGGGCCCAGGAGTGGTGGCAGGGCGTGAATGTATAAGGATCAAAAGTGGCCCAAGCAGTTCGACACAAACAGAGAGGAAGAAGATGGTTTCACCTCTGGAAGTGAAGTACCCGCCTGAAGAGTGTCCAGCGGTTCAGAGCTCCCCGTGGTAGGCTGGCGTGCGACTGTCCTATCTGGAATGGCTATTGAAAATTTCGTGGGTTCGACATCACATTCGAAGCACTCCATTGGTTTTTATTTCTGCATTCTTTATTCCTCTATGGGCTTTCGTTCTGTACCTCTCGAAGGGAGAAGGAAATACTTAGAGTGAAAGACATAAGGGAGGTAATTGGTATATTGGTCTCTCTTTTCGTGCGTAGGGAGCTAGTCAGAGTCTCGTGCTCATTTCTCGCGGTCGAAGGTGAGGTTATTTAGTCCCGGAGTTGGTGGTGACTATGTATCCATGTTAGGTACCGTCTCCGTCGAGAATGACTTACTCAGTCCCGAATCTCATCTCGTCGTGCTGACAAGTGGAAGTTTATGGGCACTTGGGGGGCATCTATGAGACTCGCTTGAAAAGACACAGACGCGGGAGTAGACGCATCAGTGTATAGAAGGCGTCTGTCATATGGAGAGCTCTTGGGGTAGGTTCGTGGCTTTTAATAGGTCTCGGTACCAAGATTAAGGAGCATTTCAGGGCCAATTTATATGCTGCTGGAGTGGATGGACGTGATTAGAGGGGCGTTCACGCAATATCTGTTTACTCTTTTGTTTGTAAGAGAGGTCTGCGAGTGGGTGTTCTTTGGGATCTCTGTCCGTGATTATGCTCTCTTTCTGATTTGGGCCAACTGGGCTGTCAAGGTGTGTAGATGTGCTCGCTAACTGGCAGAGGGACCTAGTCCCTGGACACGTAGCTTTCGCTGGTTCAGGTCGAGTCTCTGGACGGATGAGAATTACCTTTCAGTATATACCATGTGAGTTGGGTAGATACTTCGCCCATGAGTGACTGAACGGATTATCGGAATCATCACGATACGAAAATATCTCTTCCGAGGTGATCGCAATTGGTTCTCTGGGAATATCTACCGTTTGGGAAATCTATATCCACGCTCGGAATCGAGCTAAGCGCAACGACGAGGAAAGGAAAAATGGTGCGCATGTGCTTCTTGACTTCCTACATGCTGTTAACGATGAGTGTATCTCATGATTGTTTGGGCATATGGTCCCCCCGGTGACTTGCTTGCACAAAGATTGAATGAGAAGTAGAGACCAAAGTTGGAATCTGTCGAAGCCCCGAAAAGCTTTCGTTATGCGGCTATCAGCGCGTCTTCATGGTCATGATGGCCCTGCGAGACGAGGTAAGCAAGAAGTTTAGACGAACCTTTTCCTAGACCTTGGTCGCATCCCCTTTGGCAACGGTTGACGGGTAGATAGAGGCACACAAGGTAGCGCTCGGGATCCACGACGTCCTGTCGCTGATGTGGATGGACTGATATGCGGGAACAAGATATCAACCACCCATACAACGAAATGCGGAAATGATGTGGTTGCCTATTCAATCTCCCTATGTCTTGCTGTCTCTCTCTCAATTTCTTATATTCAAGGGTGTAGGATGGACTACGCCATTACCCATAGTATCAGTGTGTGGAAGACTGTCTCGAGGAATTGAAGGATGGTCAAAGCCGAGCGAGACCGACTTTCAGAAGAAGCAGCGCCAATGATTGCCAAAAGACTGGAGGCCAAACCACAAAAAGCAAACGCAACCACTGCATGAAAATTGCATCACTGTTCTAGGGCAGGGCACGAACAACTTACGAGGCTCGTGGTCAGCTCACTCTCATGTTCGATGTAGTTGGTCACGTGGACGTTCGAGACTGCGATAGGGGGGTTGATATCCATGTTGCAGGTGGAATCATGTACGAGATGGACTCAACCGCCGCTTCTTTGCGGCAATAAAGCCCGCTTCGAGGCTATCTTCATAGTTGATCTCTTAGTAGATACGAGGAGCAGCTACTTGTCAGTCACGTTCTCATGATGTGACGTTATGCTTGACCAATGCTATTTGTGACCGCGTTGGCGGGCCAATTACTTCTGCTTCGTGCATGTGGTTACGATTCTCATCATCGTTGACCTCACAATGAATTAAGGAACTCAGCACTTGATAGGATGCTCGAACTCCTCCTTGCCGTGTTTCGTATACGAGGAGATGCTCTACAAACCCAATATAACAGCCGCTCTAAGTCGACCATCAGTCCTATCCCGCCTCTGTTGAACATGGTTATACACACTGAGAAGAAAACATGAGTTTTCTCGTCACTTTTGGTGTGGCTCGATGTCAAGGTAGGACAGCTCTCTAGTCAGTCTCGGCTTTTTCTAGTTGTTCCTGAGTTAGCTCTTTGAGCCATGTAGCATAGCTGCGTCAGTCGAAATAATGTAAAACCTCAAACACGAAACCACAACTTTCCAAACCATCCGAGTGATTAACCACGGGATCGGCAACTAAGTAAGACCAGGCGTACATTTGCCTTTGCTCATCAAATGTCGATGCCAGCGTTGCCACCTCAAAGGACCTTGATTTTTTCATCGACTCGTACGGAGGATTCCTCTACATGTATGTGGTTCTCTAGATATCATACCACTCATGCAACAAAAAGCTCTTGGATAACTACCAGCCGAGGAGAACATGCCATTAGCATAAAATCCTGTCAACCTGTTAGTCTACGTGCCCTCTCTCATCCTCAACGTCTCGATAGCGTAGCCTTGCCCAGAGTCTACGCCGCCAAGTCTTCCAAGATGAAGCCTCTAGAGTTGTATAAATCCGCATGGATCGCGCAGTGGAGGGAAGCGAAGTGTTTCCGCCCAGAATCCCCATCTACGCCGGAATGCTAGCACCTTACAAACAGTGAGAACAGAGCCGCGACGAAAGCAAGGTCCATCTCTAGGTCTGGTTGATACCTGAGTTCGTCGAGAAGCCGGAGCGGCCGTTCTCGTGATTCTGGCGCACCTTGAACATGTTGAGGCGCCTCCGGAGAGGACGACCCCATATCCTTGTCCCGTCAAACACTTATGGGAGTGATAGAGGTGAGTAGATCCACGCCGTCAAGAGATCTTGGCCGCTATCCTCTTCACCAGAGGCCTCGCAGCCCCTCACTCAAGCCCCTTTCACGGACTCCACGCCTGCCACTCTAGTCTAGGCAGAGAAGCAAACGATATATGGCTCGAGTAGAGATACTGGAACCAAAATAGAGCGAGCAATCGATACATTATCATCCCGTCTGATCCTACAGAGGAGCCCATTGAGTCCTGCCAGCTAAACCGACCAAACCCAACAAACCTCAGCCTCGTGATCTTGTCACCAGTAACCCAAAACAACTCCATACCGAAACTGGACCCCCCCCCAAAGCCAAGACCAAAACGCACATCCTCCATGATACCCATCAGATCACCAAGGTAAATCTCCATCAGAAGTCCACATTCCCCTTCCCGTCCCTCCACGGTCCACCACCAGAAAATCCTCCCGCGCCGGCGCGCGCGCGCTTGCCCCCCTTCGAGTCCACAAACAGAACAAACTTTCGCGACCTAAAAAGCCCACAGAGATTAAATCCACCTCCGCAAAAAAGGGAGCCAGACAAATCCAAATCGCAAGCTGAACCTAACACGTTCCAATAAGAACGGCCGGTTGGCCCAATGGCAAGGCGTCTGACTACGACTCTTTCTACTAAGCGTTTCGTGCGGCTCTGCTGTACGAGGAACATGTGGGAGAAGTGCAAAGGTATCAGGAGATTCTGGGTTCGACCCCCAGGCTGGTCAATGATCTTTTGTTTATCAAACTTCATTTTTATATAGACGCCTATTTTCACCCAGTACTTTGAGTACTAGGTTTAAATCAACGAAAGGATTCATCCCTTCTTGTTGACCCGTCGCCCTCCTCATGGAACATCAACTTTCCCCATTCGTTCCTTCTTCACAAACTCATCGTGACCTCGTCACCCGCCAGACTCCGAATTTGCTTCCCAAGACTGTTACGTTACTGTGTCCTTTCTTTCTCTCATTCATAGAAGTGACGAGAATCAGTAGAAAAAAAAAAAAAAGGCGCGTTGCAGAATTTTCACCAGCATTACACTTACCCCTCTTTTCCCTACCCCCAACCAGAAGCGGTGGGCGGGCACGTCCCGATGCTTTCTAGTCACGCGGTCTTTTTTCGAAGATGAGGTAAGGTGAGGAGGAGGAGAGGAGGTCACGATCGTGAGCCACACACCCCTATCGAGAGAGACCTAGGTTCACATAAAAAAAAAGAAAAACACAACGAGACGGCGGTCAAGGGCTTGGGTCGGGTCACTCGACTCGAGAAGGGGGTTGGGTGATAAACCAGATATAGACATTCACAGTTACACACTGTGAATGCCAAGTCCGTATATCCGTAATTCCACGAGAGAGAATCTGCTTCCAGTGTGTCTGTCCTTCACACTCCAAGGCGATAGAGTCCAAAGTGTCCAGGCATGGGGTTCTCTGGTGATAGAAGGACCTTCAGTTTGCAAAGGCAGTTTTTAGATGTCGATATCACGATTCGCACGCACAGGTTAACACACTATCATCGTACCCACCGTCAATTCTGCGTCCTTTCTGCAATGTTAGCTCAAAGTCGTCGAGGACTCGAGTCACAAAAACGCAGAACTCATCTCCCACAAAAGCTTCCCTACGTCTAGACGCAAGTACCAAATTTCCGACCAAATAAGCGTTTCGAGACTCAAGCGGAAAAATAAAATAAAAAATGACCACCGATACCAAACCAAACCAAGCCAGAAGCAAACCATCCATCTCGTCTCGTCTCGTCTCTCGCTGTACCCGAGATAATCCAAAATTCCCCAAGAACCCGCTCGTCGTCTCGAACATTCGCGCACACCCCCCACCTCTTCGTGACCCCGTGACCATGCTCTGCTCTGCTCGACTTTCGAGTCCTTCTCTCCGCTCCGGTTCATTCCCTTGCTTGAGCCTTGCCCCCCTTCCTCTTCTTCGCGCGGCAGAACACCCCCGAGACATTACCCAAGGGGCCGCGCGAGAACCCACAAAAACGCGGTCCGTCATGCAAGAAACAAGCCTCAACAATGGCAGGGGAAAAACATCAGACACAGGTACACACAGTCAGTTCACTCAGTAATCGCACAGAGAGACTCACAATCCAGTACGTGAGTCTCCGTACACCAAGCAAACTGCCAGAGTGCCAAAGAACCACAAAATACCTCGCATACGGCATTCCAGAACCTTGGTATCCCAGGCTTCTAGCAGCAAAAAAAAAGTGTGCCCATTTGCAACGAAAGCTGAAGAGCCTCCAGTCTTCCACATAACCTTGTCAAGTGGCGACCGCTCTCTCACCTACCCACCGATTTCCATCAACCCCGGGGTCTCGGTTCGAAGGAATCAAGGGAGCAAAGGGGGCAACAACCGCCTGTACAGTGTGGTGGCCCCTCGTCGAAGAGGAACAGCAGGCTCGCACGTTGACCTGGGGCATCTCGAATGAGGTCGGGGAATCGGCAACTGTGGTCAACGCGAGAAGCCATCTCGTCGTCCGATATCCGTATGGACCTCCTCCTCCCCTTCAGTCTCCTCCCCCGGGATGTCCACAATGCAGGTGCCAGGTGCTGTGTTTCTTGATATTCTCATCCGGCTTGTGCCCGGTACGCGGCATGTGCGGGTCTCGAAATCGCATAGCGCAACATAGCCTCGCCTCTAGAACATTGGAAACGCTCGATCGAAGCTCTAGCCTCTGCTTGACATCTCCACGAGTCCACGTTGTCAAAAGAAAAATAAAACAAAACCCTACGAATACCACTATGCACCGTAGTAAGGGGGCGAAACTGGTCGTGGCGAGCGCTAGCAACGCTCATGCGGCGGAAACAGCGGATAGCAGCAACACTGAGCGCAACAAAACGCATCAGGAGACATCCTTACAGTATTACACATCACCGACGTGTGTACGGTGGAATACGTTGTAGTTCGTACGCGCTCTGCCCTCACCTTGGATCCCGAATTAGAAGTTCTGTTTTGAGGAGAGCCGCCGGACGTGCTGCCCTTGCTCCCCTAACCCTTACTAGGGCGGTGCGCGTCCTCGTCTTGCGCTCCTTGATGCGACAGAATAGGGGTTCTGTTTCGGCTAGAACAATTCATAGTCTTGTCTTTGCTGCATTCCCTCCCCCAATCCGATCGCCAGGAGCCATTTGACGTGGTTAGTTGCCAGGTCATCGCGCGTATGTCGGTCGGGGAGTCCCCGAAACATTCATGCCATGGCAATGCGGCGCGTTGCTCGCAATATGTATCTGGACTATCAAGTGAACTGGGCCCCCCTTAAGCAGTCCTCATGTTACTCTCGTTCTTTGCGCAACGCGAGCTATTTCTCGATGGTAGTTTGAAGAATGCTAGAGTTTATAGACACTGTGAAAATCTGAAGGAGACTAAAACCTTTGTAAAGTAATGGCGGCCAATCTCGCATACGGGCATTGCGACCGGAGCTCATCTCCCAAGTCATAGACACAGACTATATTCTGTTCAAATATCCGGTAGAATGCCTTCTCCGAGTCTGTCAAGGATGCTCGTTCTTGAAGTTGCGCATTGATGGCTGCCGCAAGCGGAACCGCAATCATCGTCGACAACGAGAAGCGGAACGCGGAACGGGTGCGCTCAACCGCTGGCATCTGTATGAAGTAGGTCTCAACCGTCCTTCAGCATCGTGATTGCTGCATAAAGTGCAGAGTCTCAAGACCATCATTACTGCTTATGACGTCAATTTGACTTGACAAGTTGCAAGACCCTCTGGCGCATTTACTTAAGTCGTGAACTGTTGGCAAATGACGCAATTGCATCTTGAGATAGATATCCGTATCCGTACTGCAACGCTGCCTCCAATCTCTTGCAGCCAAAAAAAAAAGTCCGCAAGCCCTCCGCAACCCGCGGGGGACCCGCCCGGAAGAGCGCCGCGTTGTTGAAAAAGATTGTGATACACGGCCGTGGGACCCGGGGTTGAGGCTGGTCAGGAGTCGTCCCTTCAAAGCCGTGAGATTGGCCGAAGTTGGCGAGATGAACTTGGCAAAAGCTCCATGATCGGCATCCGGCCGAGATGTCATATCGAAGCATGTTGAATCAGTCGGTCCTTTAACTCAAAGACTGTCGTCATACCCGGGCTTGACTGAATCGTGAACGGCTTCCGAGTTGCACATCCCGGACGTGAGGCGTCCTTCAAACCACGGACCGGAGATGCTACCTGCCATTCAAAATGACAATTTGATATTGCAGGAACATCCATTGTCGACGTTGTTACGATCCCCTTGCCTGCCGAAATAGAGAGACGCATGGCTCACCTCGCTGGGCGGGTGCACGGTGCCCAAAAGTTGCAACACGGAATACAGATAAGGCTTGCGAATTTGCACTGAATCTCTCAGCCATCGCAGCCACAAATGAAACAAGCAAGGCTGGAGCTGGAGACAATGGCCCGAACGACAGATCAGACGAGCTGCATTCCCGACGCTTCTCGCGCCAGTTACTCGAAAAACAGGCCCCCCCGACTGCCCCCCCACTTGGATCCGGCAGAAGCCCTGCTTTTACAAGTCTGTCCCGGCGCAGGGCATAACTGCATTCTGCTCGCTGGCACAAACCCGAACCGATTCGCTTATACAGTACATGTTCTGTAGGAGGCGTCTTGGAGTGGTGTGTCACAGGGCAGCCCTACTCAGCTTCAGGCCTCAGCTTAGAGCTAACCGCGCCGAGAGAGTGGTGTGACCACCCAGCGACGTGTGTCCCATCAGATGCTTGCATAACTATTGTGTAACCGTACGTAACGAATTTTCGAGAAGGAATTGCCTCAACCTCCCATCGACGGTCGGGCATGGATTCGCATACCGCTCCCACGTGGACTATCGTGGGTCTGCTGTTCGAGGTGGAGATTTGACGCGACCTTGTCATGGTTCGCCATGTCATCCAGAGCGACTGAGTGATTGTGAGCCTATGTATTCGTAAGGTCTGTCTCTGCTTCTTAGGTAGCGGCGGCGGCAGCGGCCACGGCGTCTTTCTCGGAAGAAGACAATAGGTTTGCGAAAGTTTGACCAGCGCTGTCACTGCTGCGTTAGGGCGCGGTCAACGGGAACAAATGCTTCCATGCCAGCCGTGTTCGTAGCGTCTTAGTCCAGCTGTCGCTGCAAAATGACTGGTTTCCGTATCCTTGCAGTCTCGGGGATATTTCGACTTGTCGACTCAAGCGGCCTGGCGTCCCATTCGACTGCACTAGCAGCACTGTGCCAAATCTTGCAGGCAAAGACCCTGATTCGATGGAGCGATCCCAGGGTGCCGCCGCGCCGCCAACTCGCAAAGGCCTCGTGAGGGGTATTTGGAGCAAGAAACACTCCTCGTCGTGTCAAAACCTGACTAGCGAGAGAACTTGGGATTCCCGGCCGGCACTTTTGTGTGTACGTACTTCCGCTGAGCGGCTGAGCGGAACTGGATGGACATGGGCTCACGGCCTTCCGAGCTGTCCTTCGGATACGAGCGAGTCAGAGCTTGATAGTGTGTGGTAGTTCCGTGACGGTGACTGAAGCCAACTCACGGATGGCTAGAATTCTCTTCGTTAGTGGATTGATAGAAGGGAAAACGTAACGGGCTGCTAGTGTACGGATAGTGTTGAACAAAAGGTCGGAAGCGACGCGATCTGTTGACGTAGTTATCCTTCATGACTCGCGTGAGGTAGGGGAAGAAGCCACCCTTGCTCGTCATCTTGCAAGACGTGCGCGCTGCGCATTCGATTCTCTAGTCTCGAAACCTGCTGG